GGTTGGTGTAGAAGAAGCAGGTCTGAATCCATGGGCTATTGGCACCTGGGGAAGGAGGGAGCTGTTCCAATAGGGCAGCCTTCACCTGAATCATGTTGGGACCAGAATCCTGATGAATTGCATAACTAGGTTTGTAAAAAAGGCTTTAAAATAAGTAGTGGGGGGTGGTGGGCGTGAATTTAGTTGCACAGAAAATTAGCCAATCAAAGTTAAAGGAGAAGGTATGATTGCAGATTAGTGAAGGGGTTGATTGTTACCAGAAAATAAAAAGAAGGGACAGAATGTGTGAATGTCATATTGTACCAATGAACCATAAAAGCATAAGAAAATTCGCTGATAGAATAAACTTGAAGGCTTTGTATCTTAATGCACCAAGAATTCAGGATAAGGTAGATGAACTGACAGTGTAAATCGAGGAAAATGAATATGATCTCAAAGCCATTATAGAAAAATTGTTACAAGGATACCACAACTGAAAGTTAACATTCAGGGATATTTGATCTTTTGGAAAGGCACGAGGGATGGGAAAGGTGGTGAGATAGTACAATTATTAAGAGATGAAATGAGGGCAGCTCTGAGAGACGATCTAGGCTCAGAAGATGTAGAATCCATTTGGGCAGAGGTAATAAACAGCAAGGGAAAGAAGACATTGGTAGGAGTGGAGTAAAGACCACAAAACAATAGCCACTCTGTAGAAAAGGTTATAAATCAATAAATGATAGGAGCAGACCAATAATTATGGGTAACTTTAATCTTAACGTCTATCGGACTAATCAAAGTATAAAGGGTAGCTATGACAATGAATTCATAGAATGCCTTAGGGATAGTTTCCTAAAGCAATATGTCATGGAGCCAACCAGGCTTCAGGCTATCTTGGACCTGGTAATGGGTAATGATGCAGGTTTAATAAATGACCTCAGAGTAAAAGATCTCCTCCGAAGTAGTGATCTTAACATGATGAAATTTAATATTCAGTTCAATAGTAAGAAGCTCAGGTCCGAAACAATTGTGTTTAACTTAAATACAGGGAATTACAGTGAAATGAGGATAGAGTTGGCTAAAGTGAACGAGGCGGATAGATTAGTAGGAATGACGATAAGCAAGCAGTGGCAGACATTTAAGGAGGTAATTCATGACTCGCAGCAAAAATACATCCCAATGAGGAGGAAGGATTTTAAGAGAGGGATACACCAACCATGACTAACGAAGGAGGTTAAGGACAGTATAAAGTTGAAAGAAAAAGCGTATAAGGAGGCTAAAGTCAGCGATGCCCTGAAGACTGGGATATTTTCAGAATAGAGCAAAGGAAGACAAAAAAAAAGAGATCAAATAAACAACATTGGGAAATTAGCGAGAATATAAAAATTAACAAGTACAGCTCTTGAAATATATAAAAAGAAGCGAGACAGGGGTCAAAGTGAACATAGATCCCTTAGAAAATGAATCTGGAGAAACGGTTATGGGGAACAAGTAAATGGCAGAGGAGTTAAACAGCCACTTTGAGTCATTCTTTGTGATGATAAATACTTTGAACACCTAATTAATACCAAAGAAAGTGGGAGAGGAATAAAGTACTATCACCATGGCTAAAGAAGTAGTAATAGACAAACCAATAGAGCTATAGACAGGTAAGTCCCCTAACCCTGATGGCTTGCATCCTAGGATCCTAAAAGATGAAGCTACAGAAATAGTGGATGCATTGGCTGTAATATTTCAAAATTCTTTGGATTCTGGAACAGTACCAGAGGATTGTAAAATTGCTAATGTGACACTCCTATACAAAAAGGGAGGAAACACCAAGTGGGGATGAAGAGGCCTTTTTCAGGTTGATGATCCATGACCAATGGGGCTGCACAGGGATCAGTGCTGGAGCGACAATTGTTTAGAATATATATTAACAAAGAAGGAAGTGAATGTACTGTAGCCAAATTTGCAGACAATACAAAATAGGTAGAAAAGCGGGTCGCAAGAGGGATACAAACAGTTTACAGGAAGGATATGTAAATAGACAAAAGGTTGGCAAATGGAGTATAATGTAGAAAAATGTGAGGTTGTTCATTTTGGCAGGGAGGCCAAAAGAACAGAATATTATTTAAATGCTGGATATCAGAAACAAAAACAAAAATTGCTGGAAAAACTGGCAGCATCTGAGGAGAGAAATCAGAGTTAACGTTTTGGGTCCAGTGACCCTTCTTAAGAGTACTTCAGAACAGAAACGTATTCTCTCCACAGATGCTGGCAGAGCTGCTGAGTTGTTCCAGCAATTTCTGTTTTTTTTGTTTGTGAGGCTAATGCAGTGTTGGCGCTTATTTCAAGGGGATTAGGGTATAAGAGTAGGTAAGTCTTGCTGAAACTGTACAAGGTGCTGGTGAGACCACATCTGGAGTATTGTGAGCAGGTTTGATCCCCTTATCTAAAGAAGGATATTATTTCATTGGAGGCAGATCAGAGAATGTTCACTAGTATCATGACTGGTATAGAGGGATTGTCTTATGAGCAAAGGCTAAACAGGTTGGATCTCTCCTCGCTGTGGTTTAGAAGAATGAGCAGTGATCCCACTGAAACGAAGAGGCTTCTTAAGGAGCTTGACAAGGTAAATGTTGACATGGTATTTCCCCTCATGAGAGAGTCTAGGACCAGAGGGCATAGTCTCAGAATAAAGGGACCAATTTAAGACTGAGATGAGAAGGGATTTCTTCTCACAGAAGGTTATGAGATTTTGGTACTTCTTGCCACAGAGAGCTTTAGGTGCACAATCCTTGTGTATATCTACGGCTGAGGTAGATAGCTTCTTAATCAGTAGGTGAATCAAGGGTTACAGGGAAAACACAGCAAAGTGTAAATGAGGAATGTTGGAGTCATGATCCTATTGAATTATAGAGCAGGCTTGAGGGGCCAAATGGCCTCCTCTCATTTTTATTTCTTATGGTCTATTGTCTAATTGTAAAATTTCTTGGAAATTATCAACCAGTCAGCTTAACATCAGTGGTACAAAAAATAATGAAATCCTCACTAAATGAGACAACAGAGAACATCTAGAAACATGAAAATGAATTACAGGAAGGATATATAAATAGGCAAATGGAGTGTAATGTAGAAAAATGTGAGGTTGTTCATTTTGGCAGGGAGGCCAAAAGAACAGAATTTTATTTAAACTTACTTTTCAGGCTGCAATGTCCTGGTGGTATTATCACTACGCTATTAATCCAGAAACTCAACGAATGTCCTGGGGATGCAGGTTCAAATCCTGCCACAGCAGATGGTGAAATTTGAATTCAAAAAGGAAAAAAAATCACTGACGACCATGAAACCATTGTCAATTGTTGGGAAAACCCATCTGGCCCACTAATGTCTTTCAGGGATGAAAATCTGCCATCCTTACCTGGTCTGACCTACATGTGACCACAGCAATGAGGCTGACTCTCAACTACTCTCTGAAATGGCCTAGCAAGCCACTCAGCTCAAGGGTAGCTAGGGACAGGCAACGAATTGTGGCCAGCCAATGATGCCCACAAGTTAATTAAAAACAGGCAGTAAAGAGAGTAAGGCATTAGATGTAATTTACCTCGATTTTCAAGAAATCTTCAACATGGTGCCTCATATTGGATTAATGAATTAAGCTTGAGAATATGGAATGACAGGGCAAGTAGTAGAATGAATTGTTAGCTGCTTGTAAGGTTAAAGCTGAGAGTGGGATTTAAGGTTAAGTATTCAGAGCAACAGAAGAGGAAAGTGGTTTTCCACAAGACACAGCAATGGCACCATGGCTATTCACAGATTAAATTCATGATTTTGATTTTGGAATTTAAAAGATTCCTAAATTTGTGACTGACACCAAACTGGTGTGAGGGGGAGGGGAGCAGTCAAAACCGAGAAGGACTGTAACAAATATTGATGCCCTCCAATACTTTATGTCAAAGACAACTACTCAGACACACAGCTATTGTATCATATGTTTAAATCAGGTTGTAATGAAGTGTGGGACAAAGTTTCTGGAACCCAAAGTAAGTAGTAGAAAGCAGGATAATGGTCAGTAACTGTCTCTTGGTGGTACTGTTAATGGTTCACAATGCAATGTAAGACTGCTGTCCAGTCTACATTTTCATCTGAGATCGAACTCTGCTTGCAGTGCAGAACTTGAGACAACAACTTTGAAATGTAAATCAATTCCGGCCATCAGCTGGAGGGCCAGAGATTACTGCGTAAATATAGTTCGGCAATGGCTTTCATACTTGCAGTATTAACTTTAAAATCTATATCTTCCAGCTACACATCTCATCGTGATATTTCAGTCCTCGGACTCCAATCCCAAACCCGGGCCCTTTCACTCAGTTTCGATTTATTATCTCTTAAAATCCATTTTGCAATTTGTAAAATTCCTTGGGACATCCGGTTATTGTAGCTGACTGACTTACATATGGAATATTTATTGTTTTGAGGTGTGTGGAGGGCAACTAATGATTGCCTCAAGATATTCGTGAAAGGAAATAGAGTAGGTGCCACCTGTGGAGAGCAAGACAAGCCAAAACTAGACAGCAACCTGCACACAATACAATGTGAAAAAGGACAGGGGAGTTACCAGCAAAGAAAGTATGGTTGTAGGGATCTGTATGTGACCGGGTATAGGGTTGAGTGACTGATTGCAAGACACATATTTTCCCGATTGCTTGGTAAAATGTCAAAGCCAACCAATAATCGAGAGACATTTAGGTAGCACTGATAAATGTTAGGGCACGTTCGATCCCGGCCACCTTTGTTGTTGTGGTTACAGGAAAATAGACATCAACATGAAATAAAACAGAAAATGTTGGAAACATACGTTTCACCGCTGTAGTAACTGAAAAGAGAAATGACTGGTGTGCGATTGGTTAATATCTCTCACAGAATCCAGAACTACAGTATCTTTCTATCTCGACCTTTAGTTTGATTTTGCGGTTCTTTGTTAAACTGCTGCGGCGATTTGAATGTATTTTTTTACAGCTTTTAATTTCTGTTTACAGGTTATGAATGTTCTGGGACTCAGGCTGCATTGGTTTTACAGTCCTGGGCTGATGGGTGCGTTTCCTGCATAGCCAACAGCTCAGAATGGATTTCGTTTTGGGTATTGCTGGTGAAGCGGGAGGGAACCGCAGTGAGCCCTGCTGTTTATATAAACTTCGACCATTGGTGAGTTTGGATTTGCCAAAATACCACCTTTCCATATCCCAAACCTTTTTGCGGCTAATAGGACGGCCAGCTGAATTTCACCGAGAAATGTAGCGCGAACAGTTTAGCAGGCGTCGGGGGACAGTTACACCGCGTTAAATTGTGAATTATCTATGAAAAATTCGCAAACCAGATTGAGCTCCTGACCTCGAAAACTGATTTACTTCCCGATTCCAGCTAATGATAACGATCTCTATATTTCTTGTTTAGTAGATGCAACTGTTCTGATCCAACTTGCTGTTTCTTGATCACTTTCCCCTCACTGCAGTGTAACACACACACTGTTGTTCCAGTCTAGTTTACGTGCGGCACAGCTACAGCTCAGAACCTGGGAATTGGGATTCCTTAGAGCTTCGTGATTCAGTCCCGCGATTTAGCAGGAATAAGACTATATGTGAAAAACCACTCCAGGAACTCTCTCTCTCTCTCTCTCTCTCCCCCCGTCTCTCTGGGATCTATCGCCTCGAGGTTTTATTTAGATCAATGTTTCACGTCGCTGTCTCTGTTACCTACTGCTGACCCTTATTCAAACAGGCAGTAAAAAAAAACCTACTCCGGCGTCACTTGTTTAATATTTCCTCCTCACCCAAAGTTACAAAACGATTCCGTGGAAGATTATAACGTTTGAACGGATTTCATGGCTGGACCTGTACGGCTCATTTAACTGCCCTAGTGTCAGAATCCTGGCGAACAGATTTCTAGCCTCCATATCCTGTTATTTTAAAATGACGCGCGACAAACAAATGTACTTTCAGTTGTCGATTTTAACACGATCAACTTCAAAAAGAAAAGTTGGAGCTTTTTTTTGCATTAATTCACTTTGCAGCTGAACATGTTTAATATGGATCTAAAATGTCTGTGGTCGTTTAGTATGACAATATCGTTTACCACTAACTGAGCGGAAATGCAACTGAAGAGAAGCCGCCTCAATTGCTTCCTCTGATTTGGTCCGTCAGTCTGTGCTCGATGGATTGTTAACATGTCCATTGAAGAAAGCCGTCACGCTGGACGAGTAACAGAAACAGACAAACCTTTCAACATGACATTACTCAAATCTTGACATATTAGTCGAGATGGGTTATTTGAGGAGTATAATTATCTGTGACCTCTTTATAGCAGAGATAGCTGCTGCCTGGCCCTCCTTCCTGCGTTATACTGCCGGAGACTTATTTGAATTTCAAACAAACTTCAAAAGTAAATACTGCAGATCTCTGAATTCCCAGCCTGAATGAAAATCTGTTTTGTATTCTCTTTCACGTTTCTATCTCCCCACATATATATTTCCTTCTTTCGGTCAGTTTCTCTCATTCCTGTTCTTTCTGTGTTTATTGATTGTGGAAGACCTGAGTACAATCCTGCTAGTTTTTAAACTGGCTTATGTGCAGAAAATCCAAATAAAAAGTAAAATGTTGAAGTAGAGCTTTTTTTAAAAAAACATGTCTATCATCAAACAGAACGTCCCGAAGTACAGGCAGCAGAATTTATACATGTTATCGCAACTAACCTAAACATAGCGAAAAATTCTCATTTTCACATGGGTCACGGAATGGACAGATACTAATGACACTTAAGGACTTAATGTCGATCTTTGAATCTAAGCTTCATTTGGGGAGGAACTGGCGATCCGTGGCACAGCAAAAATGAGCTGTGGTACGAACTGTGCAGGGTTCATGAATGGAATTTGCAGGCTCCGATCAAATTAAGTTGCAAACAGTTCGAACTGCAGCCTGCCCTCGGGGAGCTGAGCAGGTGAAGTGTAGATACTGAAGAAGCCGGAGACGACCTTTTCTCACTTTTAAGAAGAACTATGAGCTAATATTGGTGTAACCTTTCTTCGGCTGCAACGCGATAGTTTTTAGAACCGTCAGTTTTAAACCTTAAGTTTAAGCTTGAATGACTGGAGCAGATCTCGCTGCTGCCTGCTCGTTCGTTTCTGCACTGCTTCACTACATTTCAGCAGGACCGCACACTGCGTTCAGAACACAAGCATATTCTATTGGCCGAGCACTCCTCCGAAATAGGTGTAAGTGAACTAGAATCGTGTAGTTTTTCCCCCTCTCTCTGCCTCTCCCTCCTCTTGTCCCTGAGCGATTGTCATGTGATAATGAAGAGCAACAAAGCGCTGAAGGGAACTGCAGGGCTCTCCTGCATCTGCGATCACAACAAGCCTCGTTAGCTCACACAACACAAGTGTGCACTGCCCGGCCTCTTTATCTCGGAGCAAGACAGCAAGGAGCTTTTTTTTGGGGGGGTGGAAAAAAAGCCGCATCTACAACTCTGGCATTTACAACAGCACAGTTTAGCAGCACAGGAATTCGTTCAGCGCCTTGGCATTCCGAGATTTTATGGAATCTTGGGCAGGCAATTCAGCTCGATCGTCGACAGTTATTGCTTAGCTTTCCGGGCGAGCTGCTTCGGTGAATTTGGTGCTGTCCTCTCGGTTTTCGCAGCCTAACAAAATGCCTCGTCCGGGGAAAAATTCCTACAGTGATCAAAAGCCTCCTTACTCGTATATCTCGCTGACTGCCATGGCTATCCAGAGTTCTGCCGAGAAGATGCTGCCATTGAGTGATATTTACAAATTTATCATGGACAGGTTCCCCTATTACCGAGAGAACACTCAGCGCTGGCAGAATTCTCTCCGCCACAATCTCTCCTTTAACGACTGCTTCATCAAGATCCCCCGCAGACCAGACCAGCCCGGCAAAGGCAGTTTCTGGGCTCTTCACCCGGACTGTGGCGATATGTTTGAGAATGGGAGCTTCCTCCGCCGCCGCAAGAGGTTCAAGGTGCACCGGTCTGAACACTTGTCCGCCAAAAACTCACAAATGATCCATTATTTCCAACAACACCACCACCACCAACAGCAACAACAAGCCAAGTTGGGATTGGCCACATCGGAGACGGCCCCAGGTATGGGACGCATACCCCATTTCCAGCCCTATGGAGTCAACGGGCCCCAGTCAACTGGATTTAAGCATCCGTTCGCCATCGAGAACATCATTGGAAGGGACTATAAGAACATGATGGCCAGTGGACTTCCTTTAGCCTCTGTAATGCATCACCTTGGTTACTCAGTGCCCAGCCAACTCAGCAACATGGTAGGATCCATGTGGCCTCATGTTGGTGTCATAGACTCGATGGCCCCCATGCCAGTTTCTCCAGATTACAACCCATTTGGTGTGCCCATGAAGACAATCTGTCACCCGGGCACGCAGACTATGCCAGCCGTCCCCGTGCCCATCAAACCTACAGTGTCACTGGCGTCTATCTCCACAATGCCTGTGCCAGGAGCCCTGCCGGGCAGTCCCACTCAGATCTGTCCGTCTTCATCTTCAACCTCCCTACATCTAGATCAGACTCGGTCAGCCCCCAGTGAGGGCAAAACTAACTCATTACACTCGGTGCTCGTCCATTCCTGAGGGTCATCAGTTTTAACAGGGAAAGAATTGATTAAAGATAATGTGAAAAGTTAATTATGCAGAAAATGTTTTGGCTCGTTAAAGATTCATAAATTGTTCTCATTTAAACATGATATCAGGGAAAAGTTTTAATAGAGCATTTATAGGTAAGAGGGTTTACTTCCGGCAGACAAGTCACCAGTGACCTAAATACTAATTAAAATGGAAAGTTGAATGTTTCTGGAATAAAATGCCTGGATATGAAAAAAAATATATTTTATCATTATTGCAGAAACATCATTTGTGAGTAATTAAAGGTGCACCTTATCCTTCTGTGTGTTTGTAGGTTTGTAATATTCAGAATTCATCAGATAATAGCGATGGTCAGCAGTTTCAGGTGATTTCCAACCCGAGATGTTGTTAAGCAGCAGCTGCGCTTAAAATAAACAAGCGGATTCCTGAATATCGAATGGGTCCCCCGAGCAGGAACAAAAGAATGATTTCTAAACTTGCTCGCGATTAAAGAGTTGAGGGGGGATAAAAGCTTCCAGCGGGAATTTGATGAGGTTTGAGATGAGAAGAACTATTGGAAACTGGAATAAGTGGCACTATGTAAGTCGACGAAGTTTCAGAAGGGCCGCACGGAGTGCAGCTTTAAAACTCAGTCTCACAGCTCAGATAACATTTTTAGAGCACGACGATTTCTTTTTTATGACTTCCACAAGTCGCTCAAGTAAGGGCTGGTGGATCTATTTTGCGGTCTAGAAACATCTGAGTATATTCTAAGGATTCTAAGTATATTCTAAATTTGCTTTAACACAGATGTTCTCAACGCGTCATACAGTACATGAGGACAGTGACCAAGTTCCTATAAGTTGCTTCAGTTTTAGATACCTGCATTCTGACTGATTTTGAACGTCGTTCAAACAAAATCCGAATTACGCCGCAGAATTTGTTAAATACTCGAGCTCACTGTTCGACCTAATTACTATGTAACATTTACTTTACACACATCGATGGAAAACAAAAAAAAAATCTTTGACAGAAAAATCTCATAATCGTTATTTTGAAAGTTATGTCTGGGCTCAGATTTTAACAGAATGCACATTTGAATTCCGACAAAATTAGAAGCGGGTGTCTTTATCAAAATCCTGCTTCCTGCGACTTTTAGGCTTACGATCATTTGGAGTGCATAGTGCAGCTGAAATTGTTCATAGTTTCCGTGGCAAACGCAAGTTAGCTTACAACACAAGGCGCGGTAAAAGAGCGACAATATCTCCTGAGAGTTACACAAGTTTAGTTGGCGAGGGAGAGAGAAATGCTTTTCACATTGTCTTTGTAATGGATAGAATTTTCAGGTTTTGTCCTTTATTTTCTTCTTGCCTTTTATTTTGGCACGTAGTTTGGTTTCATTGTGATGTTAAATATGGTGTGATCAAAACCGAGCAGACAATGTCATAGCACTTTACGAGCAACAAACAAAGTGAATGGAATTGCTGAATTGTGAATATAGATGTATAGTACATTTGTCGTGAAAGGTGGTTCTAACTTTCGTTCGTTTTGTATATACTCGTATGGAATATTTCATCTGTGAATAATTGTTCAGAATATGTTGTGTATATTGTACACAGGAGCTTTTATCGAAAACAAAGGTTATTAAATATTTCCCGTCCAGTACGTGTTTACTATCTTTATTTTTAATGGAACTATGGTTTAAACTGTGCCTGCGACTGAAAAAGCCCAGAATTGCACTTCTGCTAAACTCGTCGAACACTTCTGGCCAGCTAAGTGTTCCCGAACACTAGTGCCTTCTTTCCGAGCTTGAGTTGCCCTCTCTTCCATCGCTAAAGTATTTGTTCTATCCGGGTCTCGGTCCAATAATTTATATGACAGCATCTAATGCTTCAGCAGCTGATGCCTCCGAGGAATACCATCAGCCTTCCAGCAATTTATATGAGTATTTTCTTCGGTTTTCGAATTCAACAGATGAAAGTGCTATTGGGCACAAGGTCAAATTATTTTAAAACGATTCCATTTGAAATATTATGCGTTGAATGGGATACCTTTAACCGCGAACAAGAGGTGAGTTCGCTTTTATTATGAAAGGATTGGGAGTAACGGGATCGAAAATTGATATAAATTTAACCCTTTGTTGGTAAAAAAAAGTGATTTGAGGAGCTTTTCCCGTTTAGACAGAAGTTTCAAACTTCCCTACTTGTTTACATTCGCAGGATTTTAAACGCAGCTGATATTTTTCACATTTATTTTGCTTTTATTTCAATTTTCTCATTCTTGTTTTAGAACATGGAAAATAACTGATGGAGTGGGTAAACCAAAGACTCTTTGGAGAGATGACGGGAGGGATAGTGACTAGTTCATTTCGAAATTAAACTCGGTAACGTGCGGCGGCTCAATTAGATGAGTTTGTTTTTTTTCTTTATTTCGAGCCAGAGTCAAAAAGAGTGTCGTACAGGAACGCGAATCCACCCACCCCTCCCCCAAACCGTACAAAAAGGCCTGTGTCGTTAACCTGTTGCCATTGCTGGTGGTCCCACATGTATCATTTTTGCTTCATTTCTCAAAGAGATGTGAACGTTCACTGAACTGACGGGAACATGATTCACCAGTTGTGCTATATTGCTGCAATTGCATTTATTTTGGAAATACAATTGTGCAATACACTGACATCGGTAATCAAAAACCGTGATATACCAAACCATTACTCAGTTTGCAGACCATAAAGGGAAACAAAATCTCTGACGACCCTGAAGACTGACATCTCCAACATTTAAAGCAATTTTCTTACTTTTAATCACATTCCTGCGATTTACAACAGATTGACGTTCAGGAAGTCTTTAGATGAGCACTTGAAATGCCATAGCATACAAGGCTGCAGGCTAAGTGCTGGAACGTGAAATTAGAATTAGATAGACGCTTAATGACCGGCGTGGACACGATGGGCCAAATGGCCTTTTCCCGTGATGTTCAAAACTCTAAAACTCTATTGATTTTTGGTGCACAGCTGGAGTAGCGTAAAACTGGAATCATATTCAGCCTTCGAACATCGAACTGCTGTGGGAACATACAGTATAACAGAATTCAATTTTCAAACCAAACAAAATAGGATAAGTAATAAAGTCGTGAAGATATCAACACTTGAAATTAATTAATTGCTTTAATTTTCGTGATTTAAGTACCTCTAAGAATTGCTAGACCATGTACTTTAACCTTCAATGGTAACACATTGAACACAAGCAGCATCTAATAAGAGATTTATTGTGGACAATTAGATCATAATGTAACTGTCATATTAAACGGATTTTTTTCTGCATAGCGACATCAAAAGTAATTCGCTTTCAAGCCTCTCTAATTTTAAAATTTGGCTCCAGCCAGCTAATACAAACCGGTGGGAATGAGCCGGTATCACTGTTTGCAAACAATTTCCCTTAAGCTGTCACGTTATTATTGACCTGGCTTTTCTCTGAATAATTATGCCTGAACAACCGAAAACTCTAAAATGTTCTGGTTTGTAGCTTATTCTTTTCCAATAATTAAAGAAATTGTCGACGGTAGGAGGGCACATTGATCAAATATTGATTTTTCAAATAACTAACTGATCCAGTTGGAAACTTATTTTCTTAAAAGATATTTAAAAGGCTCCAGTGTAAACATTGATAAATGTTCTGATATTCTTAAAACCCATTGAAACATGGATGTTGTTGGTCTCTTTTTAAGGTATTATTTAACACATGCAACAAAAGCAATAATTTGCATGGCAAGTCCGATAACAATTAGGGAGCCACAGCATCGTGGTGATGTTAATTGGCAAACAATTCCGACACCCGAGCAAATGACGCGGATAGAAGAATTTAAATCTCACTCTGGCACTTGAGAAGTTAAATGTATTTAATTCACTTTTTCTGGACTAAATGAGCTAATAGTGGTCACGTAGTAACGACTGAACTGTGGGTTAAATCCCTTCAATAACTTACTGATATTTCCCATTGCCCTTTACAGATGGAAATCTGCTGTTCTTGCCCGGTCTGACCTATACGTCATGAATAGGAAAGGTTTGAACGGATATGGGCCAGGAACAGGAGGGTGGGAGTGGTTTAGTTCGAGATTATGTTCGGCATAGGCTGATTGCACCGAAGGGTTTGTTTCCATGCTGTATGGTTGTACGTGAATGCAGTCCCACAGCAATGTGGTTAACTCTAAATTGCCTTCTGAAGTGACCTAAGATCCATTTCAATATCAAGAAAGTGGCTCACCATCACCTTCTCAAGGACAATTATGGAACAATAACAAATGCGGGTCTTGCTACCACGTATTATGGTTTAAAAATGTTTATAGAAACTAAGAGTTCTCTGTGGTCCTTTTTCCAGTAATGGCTTCAACACTTTGGTAGGAATACTGAGGCTTTAGTGAAAGTACAACGCAGATTCATTACCTACAATGAAAGAATACAAAAACAAAAACTTGAAAATAGTAGGTAGAATTGGGTTGTTAGAATTGCTTAGACTGCTGGACAAAATGTTTCACACCTTGCAAGGATCAGACAGGATTTGCAGAAACAGATTGTTTCCAGTGGTCATGGAGTCGAATTACAGAAAACACAAACGATGAAATATTGGAGATTTGGAACAAAAAGTAGGAATAGCTCTATAGTTAGAGCTCTGCGACACGTAACAAGGCGCTGCAATGTTCAAAATTATGTTGGATTAGTAGATAAAGGGAAGACAGACTTTTGGGGCATGAATGGTATGAAGAATATATGCAAGGTATATTAGACTCGTTGAGCTCACTTGCCTATTAGCAGCTTACACCTTCCATGTAAGCATTTTGTGTAAATGCAGCTGCTACTTTGCTCTAAATCTGTTCTTTAATTGTAAGTTTTACTTTTAAAGTAAAAACGCAGCATTTCAATAATCCAGAAAAAGTTTTCTGCTTACAACCGAAAATATCTTGACCTGTTCAGACATGGTCCATATTGACTAAGGTAGTACAAGTCCTTTTCACTCTTCTATTCTCTGACAAACAATTCTTGAGGTATGGTAATTCAATGGAATTTGAATGTATATAACGTCAAAATTTATTTAAAATCCCTTGCCCAAACTGTTCAATCACTTAATGATGTTAATATTAAAGAAATGCAAAGTCAATTTAAATATTTTTGATTTTTTTTTGTTCTGTTTGGCAAAACACAATAATGTTAACACTATGTATTAACTTGTACAAATCCAGATCACGAATTGAAAAGGCACGAATTTATTCGTACAATTAGTGAAAATGAGCGTTGCATACAATAACAATTAAAGTCAATAACGCAAGCATCATCAATTATACTGAAAGGATTCTGGGGTTTTGTTTTCGATGTTAACGGTGTGTTGATTAACGAACCCCGTGAACAATTCGCTAAAACATTAAAAACATAACCTGCTTGTACAGTATACATACATTCCATGAATGTAGTTGAAGTTGATAGGACTTGTCAGCCTTCCAACTTTTTTTTTAACGCTAACATTAAAACGTAGAGTACAGTTTGAAATGGGTTGGATACCATCCTGCAATATCGGTAGAAGTTCACATGGATTTAATCCGTCTGCAGTGATATTAGCAATATTTACAACGCTGTCATTCTCATTTTCCTTACACCCAGAATGACCTGTGAGAAAATATTCATTTTCAACTATAGCTTTGAGCCAAATTCGCATTCTGTATCAAAGGTGCCATGAGAGCTGAAATATGCATGCGCATGTTACTGATTTGCTAAATTGTCACACGCATACTTCCCGTTTGAGTTTAGAAATAAAACTATAGGATCTCAGTCACAGGCACATGATTAGTGTTACTTGCATTACACGGGGCTGTCAGTAGAAACGTACCCAATTTATGAATATTAATGGTAACTACAATTTCAATATACATTACAAAAAAGGAATAGAACTTTGCATTTCTCTGAGAAGCAAACACATAGCTAAAATGAACTATCGACCTCATGTATCTGGCTAAAAGGACCACTGTTCCAGTCTAATGGTAAAAGCGGCTCTGCCCTCATGGCGAGACGATTAGTCGTCAAAAGGTGATCAGGATTTTAAAACAGCAAGCACACCTGTATCACAGGCAAGTGGTCACATTCTGAAAGTTATACATCACCGCACTGTACAATCGCGATGAATTATCCATTTGAAAGCTAAAGTAACCTGAATATTGACGCGGCTCATTCTTTCTCGGTAACGAGCAATTAGGAGGGAAATCTATACAGAAGTGTAAGTAAAGTGCACGGATCAGTTAATAATTCACCTGCTTACATTATTAACCAGCTGTAGACGCGTGCTGCCTGGAACTGATGTGATAACGTTTCTGAACTATTCATTTGTGAAATTGAAATACCTGATTCGGTAGACAAGATTTTAATAAATATTAATACATTATTAACTATTCGTCTTTTAGTTAATAACGAACTTTGTGACTGGCCCTTCATATTAAGC